AAATATTGAATTTTTAGCTTCGTTCACGGATCTCCTTTGACAAAATTTCTCAAAAATGGGTAGAAATTGTCAATTTCAAAAATCTGCAGTGTCCCGGTGCGCCTTACACAACAAAATATGCAAAACTCTCCCCCTTTTCCAAAGCTGGGTAGAAAGCGTCAATTTGCACAAACTGCAGGGGCTTGAAATGCTTTTTCTTCCATTTTCAGCAAAAACAGTCCTTTTTCGAATTTGGGTATGAACCGCCAAACATTCGAAGCCTCAGGGACTATTTTCGAAACTTCTGCCATTTGTGTTCCAAACATACGAAGAGTTGTCCCAAATATTCGAAAATTCAGAAAATTTTCGAATTTGGGTGAAAAGTGTCAAACATTCGAAACTTCAATTAATTGTGGAGGTTGCCAAATATTCGAAAGTTCAGGGGCTGAATTCGAAAATTCTGATTTTTGAGCAAAACATACGAAACATTTGCCAGTATGTACGAAGAGTTTTAAAATTTGTCAAACAGTCGAAACTATAAGGGCCGTATGCGAAACTTTTCCTTCTTTCTTCCCCAATTTCGTTTCTCACACAATTCCCTTCCCTTCGTACAAAGCTTCAACCAAACACACGAAAATTTTCACAGCATTTTCTTCACTTCGTATGAAAATCATCTTCCCCAAAATTTTTCTCTCCTCTTCATACGAAAATTTTCCCAAACACACGAATTCGAAGCCTCTTAATGAACAGTAACGTCTGAATACCTCTGAATCGAATTTTCCCAGTTCACCAAACCCAAATCAAAATTCTCTTTTACAGATCATCAACCCAAATTTTCGTTCATTTTTCCCAAACCCAATCCTTCAAACACCGACTCAATCTTCGAATATCGATTCCAACACATCGATTGTCTTCGATTCCAAATCTGAGTTCTGTTCATCACAGGGACCCAAAATCAATCTTCAATCGTTCAAACCTTCGATTTCATAGCCTTTGAAACACAAACCAAAATCCGATCATCGACATCAACTATTGAATATCTCGTTGCTTCGCGTTTCCAAATAATCAACCATCGACATCTATTTCTGTTGTACACAAATCGACTATCGACTTACAAACCCAGATCGTTACTAATCGTCAAAACCGAATCGATATCAACATCCAAAATCATCGAAAACACGATTGAGTTCATAGCCTTCCCCAACCATCGATTCCAAACCATCGACAATCACTGTGACCAAATTAAACCTTCGTACGTCAATAACAGATACCAAACAAAGCTTCGATCATCGATCCTTCGCACATGAGACCCAGACTAACCATCCAGGTTGCCGACTTTGCTTTTCATTCATCAAATTCATCAATTTCGACTGCCTTCATCTTCAATCACTTCATCCCTTGAACATTGAAATCAAATCCCAGCACATCTCGTTAAAGAAGCAAATATGAACGAACACAGTACATCGATCCACATAAAAATTTTAACAGTTCTTCATTTGTTCTTGAGAAAGTTTTTCCAAAATCAAGACATCAATTGACGTCAAATCCAAATCAACAACCAAAACTTGATGTTTAAACATCGAACTCAAGAACCAATCAAAACCAAACAGATATCCAATACGATCTTGAACCATATAAGACTTGTGTTCAATCAACGATCAGCCAAGAAAATACCGATTTCAACTCAAATTGAGTTTTGATTCAATCGATTTTGACTTTTTCATTTTGACTTGAAATTGATTTGCATCAACGATTTCGAATCCATACACCATTACACGATCTTTGGTTCTCAAATTTCAATCAAAAACGAATGAAACATCGACGATTTTAAGATATGAGAATAAAAACATCGACAATTTTGAACCAGAAGAAAGAGAACAACGAGAGCAAAAAGATATAAGGAATTGGATTCATGAACAGTTCTAATAGATGATTGGGCTCAAAATGAATTGGACATGAACAGTAATATGAATATCTAAAATTGGGCTTTCATGAATTGATCAATGAACATTCGAAATTTCAATATGGGCTCAATTTTGCGTGAATAGTAACAGATAAGAAATTTGGATCAATTTTGGACAGTATCAAATTCCAAAATTCAATCAAAATGATTTTGGATAATATCTTGATTTAACCAAACACTTTCAATCGAAAATCAAATCGAACAACAGATTAGGATTGACTTTGAAAAAAAAAGTTATTGGATCACAACAAATGGGTTTTTCAAAGAAAATTTGATCCAACGAGTCAAATGATCATGAATCAAGAACGCAACACACGGTTCAATGAGATTAAAAGAGATCATAGAGAGAGACTCACCAAAATTGCTCAAATTGCGACAAAAGTTGCCAAACCGAGAATCGTTCTTCAAAAATCACGTTGATCTTGAAGACCCGCTCTGATACCAATTGTTGTGACAAAGAACATGGTTTGGCATGCGGAATTAAAGTTTGCACAATGAACATGGTGATTTGGGTGTTCAAGAGATGTATTGATTGTATATGGTGTTACACAAAAATGATCTAGATCTAGACTACATAAATAACACACACTTACACACTCAACTTTTACACCTCTCAAGCACACCTCTACAAGTGGTATGAACCCACTATTTATAGAGGTGTGTACATGTCTCTCTCTCACTCTCTATCTCTCATGTGTCACAAGGCTAATACTCCACATGCAAGTGGGTTTTACAAAAGTCAAACAATTACAAAGTCAATCATGAATAACTTTGTACCCCAACACAACTCGCCGAGTTCATAAGTGGACTCGACGAGTCGAGTCGGGCTTGCCCCGCGATTCGTGACAGGAGGAACCCGTCGAGTGGAAGGATGACTCGACGAGCCAAGAGAGGCCAGAAGGATTCAGAGGACCCTCATGGACTCGCCGAGTCACCCGTGTGCACTCGACGAGTCGGGTCAAAGTTTGACCGTTGACTTTCGTTGACCTTAGGTTTCTAGTCAAGACTGATTCAAGAGAGTTCAGGGAGGGGTAGAATGGCCTTCTACCCAATCTTTAGAGATGAGACTATGAGAGAGTATTGATCGGGGATGTTATTTGAATGATAGGAGGAGGCTAGGTCGGGACGATGAGCACGAGAGTTATCCGACTTCATTGAGGTGAGTCTTCTCACTATACTGTACCTGGAAGGGTACCTATGTGTGATCGGAAGGTCTTGTATGCTATGAGATGTAAGTGCTATATGTGGTTATGTGATATGTATGTGCTATGTATGTTATGTATGGTAAGGACCGGAAGGTTAAGATGATATGGACCGGAAGGTCAAAATGACATGGACCAGAAGGTCAGGAGGTTATGGACCGGAAGGTCGATACGGGTAGGACCGAAAGGTCTACCGGGATTCGGGACGGAAGTCCCCTGAGACACTTGGATCGGAAGATCCCATAGAGTTATTGCCTGGAAAGGCGTATGTGTTGTATGTGGTATTTGGGGAACTCACTAAGCATTTATGCTTACAGTTGTTGTGTTATGTGTTTCAGGTACTAGCGAGGATAGCGGGAAGGCGCCGGCATGGTCTGTACACACTGATGAAGATTTATGTACTTGAGATTCTGGGGTTGTTCATTGAGATATTATGTGATACAATGGGTTTTGTTATGAATGAATTATGTTTTAAAAATGAAAAATTGTTTGAAAATTTACGTTGTTACATACTTATATTCACAAGGAATATGGACTTTTCATACGTAAACCTGTTGATACCAATTTTTGTGAGATATCTGAATTCATCGAACCATTCAGTTCGCAGATTAAGTCCTGTTTTATAAGCCATGATCTCTTGTAGGGAGAGCGTGATACTTTTGTATAGATCTATATGAGACTGACAATCCCGCACCTAAACTGTTAGCTACAGTTAGACCGGCAGGTCTGGGGTGACAAACGTCATATCATTCCAACGCCTGAAGAACGTTGTTATAGGCAGTCTGGGTCAATAGTACGGTTATAAAAACTCATATGGGGTATTAATACATCTCGGTTTATGGGGCTGTTAAACGCCTTAGTGATTATATATACTTATATAAATCTACTTATACTATTGCAAGTATGGAAAACACTTATGCATTCAGTCTTTGGAACTTTTTCAAACTACCACACATATATGGAAAATATTGTATTTTCTAGGAACAAACTCAGTTATTTTACACTAAAAATGATACTATTCTTATACAAAAACGCTTATGAACTCACCAACTTAATTGTTGACACTTTTTCAAAACTACTTGTATTTCTCAGCGATTCAGTAATACAGGTAAATCATCAGCTTTTGGAGAAGGTACGCTAAGACGTCAGTCTTAAAACTTATTAAATCATCATATTGTAATTTATTTTGAGACATGTATTGTATTCAACAATATAACTTTCAAATTATATTATGATGGTTGTGTTTACTTTCTTTACAAATATTCAACTGTTATGATACTACGTGAAGTCACCCACCCCCGAATGTTTCCGCCATTCTGGTTTGGGGGTGTGACAAAGGTGATTCTGAGTTTTCGGACCTCGTTGCAGAATGAAAAAGATGCCTTGTATGAACTTGGCTTTGGATTACAAAAAGATAATGCTGACCATCACACGTCCATTGCCAACTCCATTCTTACTTTACAGGCAAGTCGGGCTCATGAAAACAAAATAATGGATGCTCTGGCTTACTCAACAACTAAAATCAAGGTTCTTAGAGTGCAATTGAGGTTTACTGTTCTTGATCTTGGTAAAACAAACGAAGAGCTCCTGTTGGTGAAAGGGCAAAATTTTTAGATCAATCAGCGGGTCAAGATTGTTGAATCAAAAGATTCTCCTTACGCAGATGACATTTCGCAACTCATGGATGCAAAGCTAAAGCCTATTCTCTCAAAGTTGAATGATATTTCGAATGTTAATAGTAGCAAGGCTACTTCGCAACAAGAGGAGAAGAAGGAGTGTTTCCGGAAGTCAACATTAAAAAGCCTTACCAAATCAGTCCAATAGAAAAGAACAATGAGAAAATTCATTTGGAGACGATGACTTTGGAAGAAAAACTGAAGGATTTAAGAAAGAAAAAAACTAGCCAAAAGGGTAATGGAGCTTTTGGTTCAGGAAAAGGAAACGTGAAGATTGTGTCTTAAAAAGAAGATGAATTAAATCCACCATTGACTAATGAACAAAAAGTTGAACAAGCAAAATGTGATGTATTGTTGGATGAGCTTAATGCTTTAAATGCAAAGATTAATGATGAGGAAGCTGAAAAGAAGAATGTTGAAGCAATTCTTGCGAACAAGAAAGAATTGTTTCCTCCTTGGTCACTTGAAAGAATTGAAGATGAATCCCTCAACAAACCAAAACTTTATTGGTTAGAGCCTCAAACTTCATTCTCTGTTGATAATGATGTTGAATGTCAATTGGACTTGCCCATCACTGTGATAGCCTTCCAATTTCGTTGCTTTGAAAGCATTGAGAAGGTACCTATGGGAAACACAACAATCAACAAGAAAATTTTCAACTTTTATTTGAAGCATTCAAAACCACAATATGAATCTTGGAACATAAAGAAGATTGTTGGATTGAAAGTCAGGAAGTCTGAAAAGGTTGATGATCTTATAAAAATTCATTTCAAAGTTGTTCGTGGTAACAATCATGAAGCTGATGAGTTTACTATGGTTGATCTTCCATTGATGAATCCTTTTGATTGGGTTTCAACTCTCAACATCGTTTCAAGAGAACCTGTCAAGTATGAACCCATTTGTTCGCATATGAAGAGATTGATAAAGGCGTATATCATTGAAATCGCAAATATGGATATAGAGATTGTTGGATTAATGTCTAAGTCGATAACTATATTTGGTATGTACTTGACCCGACCCGGCATGGTCCATTTGGGTTGCACTTCACCGGCACAATTTATATAGATAGTCTTTTGAGAATAGTATATTTATGATTTATATTAATATATTATAAGTTCTAATATATTAATATGGAATCATATTATTTAATTAGTATTGATCAAGAATTAATTAAGTGATCAAAAAGAACTAATTAAATATGGACTCTTATATATATGGAATGGGCCAAGTTCATTTAGGTTGGGGCTAAGCTTTCATGGATGGTCCATGGAGCTTTTAACCCATGGATCCTATGTAAATGAAAGGTCATGGGTATTAGGGTTTACATGGATGTAACCCTAATCCTCCATAATATATAAAAGGGGTCCTTGGCTCACAAAATTGGCACAAGTGTGTGAAAATAAGAGTGGGCCGATTTTAGTGTGCATACATATTCTCTCAAGTTCTTCCAAGGTGTTTTGGTGATTTGTGATTCCATTTGAGGCTTCCACACTATTGGGGCTAAGCTCTTAAAGCTTGAAGACATCAAGCTACATCAAAAGGTATGTCATCTAACTAGAACTTTGTAGTATAGGTGCTTCATAATATGCTAGTTAGGATGAAACCTTGGAATAGTTAATATTTGCATGTATAATAGAGAAAACATAGATCCAAGGTTTATAGGGTTGCATGTACACCATAGGAGTGTTAGAATGCTCAAAACCCAACAGTGCGGTCCTTGGAAGCTTAGTAATGAAATCCATGGTGATATCCTCCCATTTCCACACGGGAATGTCTAACGGTTGCATCTTGCCGTGAGGCCTCTGAGGGGTAAATATTTATCATAGTATCGGTGGAGCTCGTGTGGTTAACCGGCACATCGATTGAGGGGTAAATATTAAGGGTACCAAGTATATTTGCATGGTTACTTCACACCTTGTTTTGTGATCCTCGGTATCCCAGTCACAAAACCTGAAGGGCACACTCGAGATTGAAACATGCCATTGAAAAGTTCAATGAATCTCAAAAGAATCTAGGAGTTTCAAAACGTAATAATACATTTCGTTTATCTTGGTGGAAATTGGTGAATCGTCATTCACCTACCTTCAAATATTTTATAGCTTGGATTACGGCATCCCTCTTCCAAGTTATAAAATAGTTTGTTGGGTCCTAGCCTTAATATATCATATTGGGTGTTATATTAAGGACTTAAATCAACTTTACGTGAATTTCTCCCATTGTTGATGTCTGGTTTAGACAACAATGATCTTCCCAAACCAAGCTTTCCTAATGAATATGACTTCCCGAGTTTGGCTCATGGAAGTCATACTTCTCTTCCTCCACCTCCTCCAATTATTCTCCCTAACCCACAAGTTCAAGGTCACTCAAGCCCTAATGGCAAGCAAGGTCTATGTATGATCACATCTTAGAGATGAAGTCATATATTGACAAGCCGGGAGAGTTGGGTGTCAAAGTCTTGAGAAAGTTGGATGTTCAATCACTTTCTAAGTCACATAGTGAGTTCCTTTGGGACTACTATGAAACAGACTATGACATGAACCTTAATGATCATATCTATTTGCTTGGTGCTGCTGAATCAGTAATGATTTGGAACGATAGTAAAGCAAATTTGATTAGAAGATCAACTTCCCAAAAACTTTATGGACAGTGACAATGGTGACACTTGAAATCCAAAAAAAGCATTCTCTTCCCAATGGAAAGGGATTGGCCATAGTCAACCCGGTTGACCAAATGGTAAAGAGAAAGGCTAAGTCTGAGATAGTCCCATTACCAAAGGGTCCATATGTTTATTTTGCCGAAGGAAGGGGCGTTGATTGCAAAGCTGCCAAATTTACCTAAGGATGTTAAAGTCAATAAGTTTGACTCTACATCAGGTAGAGCCCATTATCTAACTATGTTAAGTGCTATTCTGAGATCCTCTTTACATGATGTGACTGGGTCACATGTTGATGTTTTAAAATCTAAACAGATTTCGATAAATGATAGGAATTTGAAATTCTCACCTTTTTCGATAAGGATTTGGGAGTGTGAAATTAGAATCATTGAAATTATGTTCAATTGGTTTATTTCACAAAGTAAGGATCATAGACAAACATAGAGTGCATACTTGGTGTATGGCAAAGCTATTGTTTAAGAAAAACATAGTGTAAAAGCTTTGAGCATGGGACAACTAGTGGTTTTTAATTCAAGTATAAAGTTGATAAAACCAAAACAATGAATAATGAGTAATCAGTATGGTGATAAATAAAAGTGTTTATTTATATTCATAGGGTTTGATACCATATTTGATTCATTTATTCTTGTGTTTCACTTTGTATGTTTTGACTTCCAGAATAACTAAGTCGCTCTTCCTGAATGATTAAGTTATTCAAACCATCCACAGTCGGTCATATGTTGGAAGTAGATATGAATTCAGACTGTCATGGGTTGGTTTGTAGAGGTCCAAGTTGGTGGACAAAGTGGTGCTACAACACTCATGAGTGCTCATAAGTTCTGAGTATTGGATTCAACCCGCGCTCATTTGAATCACTTCATGGATTTTATCACGAGTGATCATGAGACGATAATATCTTATATTCTTCAAACCTAGAGATATGAGTTGTTGGTTATACATTTATTGCACGAAAACGCATTGGTAACTCGATGTTATAAAACGTGCCTTTGTGTATGATTCAACAAGTAGTAGAACAAGCCATATGAGTCGAAGTTTATCCATTCCTTTTACCTTCGGGATAAAAGCGATATCTGTGGGCCCCTCGATGATTTAGCGATGACACATGTGAGTGCTTGGCCAAGCCAGGACTGATTTGATTTGTTCAATCAGTCAGTCATCATAAATCGAAAATCGGGAAACAACAAATGGATAGAGAGAATGATTATAATCCATGTCTCGGTCCATATGATATCTAGAATGGAGGAATATATGATCCCTTATCTAATGGACAAGTCATTGACAAGGTCAGAGTTCGACAGCAGCTTTAAGAGCTACGATTGCCAGTTAGGTTTTGAAGTCATACTCAATAATAGTTTTAGACTTATCCAAGTGGGAGACTGTTGGATTAATGTCTAAGTCCATAACTATATTTGGTATGTACTTGACCCGACCCGGCATGGTCCATTTGGGTTGCACTTCACCGGCACAATTTATATGGATAGTCTTTTGAGAATAGTATATTTATGATTTATATTAATATATTATAAGTTCTAATATATTAATATGGAATCATATTATTTAATTAGTATTGATCAAGAATTAATTTAGAATTAATTAAGTGATCAAAAAGAACTAATTAAATATGGACTCTTATATATATATATGGAATGGGCCAAGTTCATTTAGGTTGGGCTAAGCTTTCATGGATGGTCCATGGAGCTTTTAACCCATGGATCCTATGTAAATGAAAGGTCATGGGGTATTAGGGTTTACATGGATGTAACCCTAATCCTCCATAATATATAAAGGGGTCCTTGGCTCACAAAATTGGCACAAGTGTGTGAAAATAAGAGTGAGCCGATTTTAGTGTGCATACATATTATCTCAAGTTCTTCCAAGGTGTTTTGGTGATTTGTGATTCCATTTGAGGCTTCCACACTATTGGGGCTAAGCTCGTAAAGCTTGAAGACATCAAGCTACATCAAAAGGTATGTCATCTAACTAGAACTTTGTAGTATAGGTGCTTCATAATATGCTAGTTAGGATGAAACCTTGGAATAGTTAATATTTGCATGTATAATAGAGAAAACATAGATCCAAGGTTTATAGGGTTGCATGTACACCATAGGAGTGTTAGAATGCTCAAAACCCAACAGAGATTTCATCTGTTTTGAACAGAAGGCCTGTCATGAAACCAACTGATCCTCCTGAAAATCTTGATTTTATGAAAGTTAGATTCATTGAAAATGAAAACCGGGGATTGGTGTTCAATGTGAAAGTAAATGAATGTAACATCCGGGAATTTGGATATATCTATTTAACCCTTCTTCTTCTTCAAGTTTGTCAAGATTAGCCCTTAAATGAAAGTTATGGCAAATGAGTACGTTGGGCGTACTAAAGAGTACGCTACGCGTACTCATGCACTTAAGTTGGACGCAGAATGCTCACGGTACGTTGGGCGTACCTTGAACTACGCTGGGCGTAGTGGGCCCAAACTCAAACCCTAAATGAGACTTGTGCACTATATAAGGAATGCTATGGCCTTATCCTCAACCACCATTTCACAGAGAGAAACCCTAAGAGAGCGTTATCTTCGTTCTAAAGCTTGTGTGTGAGTGTTTTGAGCTAGAAAGTGCCTTGGTGTGTTAGTGAAGAAGAAGGGGAGGTGCTTGTGGAGGCTAGGGTTTGGAGTTCAAGCTTGGATCTGAGTTCTTCAGAGGGAGGAGCTTCACTTGGAGGTAAAAAGCTCAGAACTTTCCTCTTTATTTTGGTTTGGTGTTTCATGGTCCATTTCTAGGGTTTAAGTCCCAAAAGTGGAGACTTTATGAGCAAAAGGGGCTCCATGGAACTAGATCTGTCCCATTTCAGTGATCTGTGTGTTGTAGATCCATAAAAAATCCCAACTTGGTCGTCATTAGGGACTCATGTTTGAGTTATGGGATTTAAAGTACTGGAAGTGGAATGATTTGGGTGTTGGTGACTCTTACAGCCATGCAAACGCTTAAAGTGTAGCACCTGGTTCCTGGTATGTAAATTTATCTAAGTATTTTGCATTTTTAGCCTTGGACTCGGCGAGTTGTAGGCCCGACTCGCCGAGTAGAGCCGGGACATGGAGCACGTTTAAGTTGGCGACTCAGCGAGTCCATATTCTGGACTCGGCGAGTCCCCGCTGTCTGGTGAAACCCTAATTCCAAGGGTTTGCACCCTATTTAAACCAACCTTATGCGCCCCAAGCTCGCCCTCATTCACCCTCAGAGCCCCCTATATCGTTCTAACATCGTTCCTTGTGAAATTGAAGTGCTTGGTGTGATTTCTTGAAGACTTTGAGAGAGAACGGAGAGTAGATCAAGAGGAGAGGAAGGAGGCCAGTCATCTTGGTGTTATTTCAGAGATTTCTTGAGGTATAACTCAGTTTCCCTCTTTCTCATGCTTATAGTCCCTTAAAGCTCCATTAAAGTCCTTCTTGAGCATTTCCAAGCTTGGGTATGAACTAGGGTCTGTGTATAGCCGATCAACCTTTAGATCTAGGCATGATTGAGCTCTAGGAGCTCGGATCCACTGCCTTTATGAAGCCATATTGCATGAAAGCCCTAGATCTACTCTTTTAGTGCATTTTGAGCCCTAAAACCTTCATTGGTGTTTATTTACACGTAAAGTTGGAAACTTTACGTGTTAATCAAGCCCTAGGAACCTAATCTACGTATGGAATGAGCTGGATCCAATCAAAATCGAGTATATATTAGTGGCATGTGGCCGACTCGACGCGGCGAGTCGTTCATCGGACTGGCGAGTCGAGTCGCGAGTCCTCGAGTTTCCCCTTTTCGTGTTGCTGAGTGGAGTCGTGAGTCATGGGGGGGGTGACTCAGTGAGTCGGAAACCAGACCTCACTCATGGAGGAACTCGGCGAGTCAATGCCCTAACTCGGCGAGCCTCAAGAACAGACTCGGCGAGTTGTTCATACGACTCGGCGAGTCCAGCATAGAATGTTCTGGCGGTTGAAGATGAAACTCGACGAGTTGTTCATAACAACTCGGCGATAGGATGAAGGACTAGTGGTCATCGGTTTAGAAGGAAACTCGTCGGTCAATGCCTAACTCGACGAGTACAGAGAGATTATGGTCAATCGAGTGGATAGGGACTCGGCGAGTTGGCAAGCCAACTCGGCGAGTCGGGTCAACTGAAGTTGACTTTGATTTTGACTCTTTGGTTTAGTTAGGGGTAAAATGGTCATTTACCCCGAGGGCGGTTAGCAGTATTGACATGAGTGTTTTTTGTGGGAATTATAGCCGGAGGATTTCCGGAGCAGCAGCAGCAGAAGTCAGTCAGTTCCCACGCAGATTAGCAGCCACTTTGAGGTGAGTTACCTTCCAGTAGCGGTGGGTCTACGGCCAAATGCCGGCCCACCAGTAGGAGTTGCCTGATAGATGATTGTCTCTGTGATATTCATCTAGGGTTGTTACTACCTGTGATATGTTTATGTGCTAAAATGACAATGATGCTATGTACTAGTGACTGTAGGGGGAGATAGTCCCCCAGATTACCGGCCAATAGGGTCGAAGGGGCGGTCGTGCCCGCCATGCTAGATAGATTATGTGATAAATGTGTTATGGTGGTAGTAGTAAGGGGGTGAAATAGTCCCCAGTACCCGGTCGAGAGGACCGAAAGGGAGACCAACACCCAGATATGCTAGTCAGTACCCGGTCGAGAGGACCGAAGGGGAGGCCAGCTCCCAGATATGCTAGACAGTTACCCGGTCGAGAGGACGAAGGGGAGGACCAGCACCCAAAATATGCTAGTCAGAACCCCGGTCGAGAGGACCGAAGGGGAGGCCAGCTCCCAGATATGCTAGACAGTATCCGGTCGGGAGGACCGAAGGGGTAGGTCGCACCCAGATATGCCGACAATGATATTATGTTATGAAACGGTATGGTAGGTGGTATGATGGGGGAACTCACTAAGCTTTGTGCTTACCAGTTTAGTGTTTGTTTTCATTCAGGTACCTCTTCGTCGAAGGGGAAAGAGCTGGCGCGGGTAGCGGCAACATCATACCACACATTGAGTTCGCATCATGAGTTATTCGGGATTTGTACTCTGACATATTATGTTTTTATAAATGGTTTCGGACACAGCACCATTTTATGAAATAGATATGATCAGTGAATGTTTTATTTCTAATGTTTGCTAAGTATAATGTTTCAAAAATGAAATTTTTTTGGCTCGTATTTT